GGCTGGCGCGGGTATTGAGCTGGGTAGAGAGGGGGTGGCCGGAAAGTGATGGCAGTGAACAGTTCAAGACCTTCAGGAACCGGCAAACCGAACTGTTCACACAGAAAGGGTGTATACTTTGGGGAGACCGGGTGGTCATACCAGAGACACTACAAAGAAGAGTACTAGCAATGCTACACGAAGGGCACCTGGGCATAGTCAAGATGAAAGCCCTGGCCAGAAGTTACGCTTGGTGGCCAGGGATGGACAAGCAAATCGAGACATGGGTAGTCGGATGCAACAGATGCCAAGAGACGAGGTCCACCACCCCCCGCCACTCCAGCTCTGGAATGGGAAACTCCCAGGGGACCATGGCTGCGAATACATATAGACTTTGCCAGGCCGACCAAGGGGCATACATTCCTCATCACCATGGATGCCTACTCCACCTGGCTGGAGGTAAGCACCATGAGAACAACTATAACAGAAGCCGTCATCGATAAACTTAACAGACTTTTCGCGACACACAGCTTGCCAGATGTCTTAGTGTCGGACAACGGCCCACAGTTCACGGCACTGGCATTTGAAAAATACCTGGCCAAATGGGGGATCAGGCACACGTTAACCTTGATGGCTCACCCGGCGGCGAACGGACGGGCAGAACGGATGGTTCAATACACGAAGAAAACCATCCCCAAAATTGAAACCGGCGACATACAGGAGAAAATAAACAGAATGCTACTCATACAGCATATTACACCAAACACGATCACAAATAAAAGCCCGGCAGAACTATTTATGGGCAGGAAATTAAGATCCCCACTGGACCGACTACACCCCACATACAACCCAGGAAAAACCCCAGACTCATCCAGCAGGCAGCAAACATTTAACATCGGGGACACGGTCTATGAGAAGAACTTCATGGGAGACCCACTCTGGGTACCAGCGCAAATAACCCAGGTAACAGGCCCCCGGTCATACAGACTGCAAACCACCGATGGAAAGAGCTGGAAGCGGCACATCAACCAGCTACGGTCAAGACTAGCCGCCAACAGCCCCAACACCCCGACAACAATAACAACAGAAAGCAGAGGGGGGGGGAAAACTACAACAACCAAATAGGGGGACAACAAAGGGCCTGAAACGCAAGCAGAACACCCCCAAATGCAAGCTGAACACCCCCCATCTAGAGCAAGCAATCCCCAAATAAACCAGCCATACTTACCAGCAGACCTCGAACTGTTGCAGATGGGAGTTTCACCTGGAAAGAACAGCCAAGCCAGTTCAACCAGCCCAGAAAGACCAGGCGGGAACAGCAGAGACTGCAGCTCGACCGACCCAGGTAGACCGGGCGGGAGCTGCAGCAATAGGCCCGGCTCACCCTTCCAGGCGGTTCCATAGAAGGGGTTGAGAGCAATGGGGAGCCCGTCCGAACCGGCCGACGATCACACACAGATTGAGCCGCGGAAATCAACTAGGCAGGTACGGAGCCCCGCCTACCTGCGCGACTATGTCACCACGCTGCGTCGGACGAAACCATGAGGGGAGGGGTGTTCTATATTAACATTCTTGAAACCCTGAATCCTGATTGGTCCATACAGACCGCAACTTGATTGGCTAACTAAACTCCTGTGATTGGTGCGCTAAGAATCTACCGCGATTGGCTGAGCCGATCGCGGGAGATTCAAAGCGCTGCCATTGGCCACCGAGCCACCGGCCGGCTGAATAAAGCCAAGCCGCTCACAGGTCTTGAACCGAACTGTATATTCAATAAAGAGCTGAATGTGCACTTTGAGTCTCGCCTCTCAATGCGACCCGATCTACCCGGGACCGATCTCCCGGACTTAACAAGCCCTCTTGCTGTTCTGAGCTTGTGTGAAGATTTTAAAATAAGAACATTGGCTACTGGAAAAATGAGGTCTTCTCTCCTTCCCTTCTTTTTGAATTCCAAACAGGATTTGTACACTCCTCTTTCTACAGTCATTCAGCTTAGAGATCATCCCCACCCACCCACCCCCACACACAAATAGGAACTGCTGTAATAGAATTATTGTTTGGCACAGAATTCTTTATAATAGCAATGTTTGCTACAGCTTGAGGCTCTCCATCCGTGGCTCCATTTCTATGGCCCCTAAGTCACACAGCTGCAATTAACAATGCAGGTTTTGTTGTGTAAGCAGGAGCTGCAGGGAAATATAAGCAGCTGCCATACAACAAAGAGAGGGGAGGGTAATTTCCCTTGAAAAGCAAAGTGCAACTTCAGGGACTTTTTTTTCTCCTCCTTGAAGATCATGGGAGTGATACAAAGATTTTAACATTACATTAACTGCAATACAGCAATTTAAATGGCATCAAATGTGGCTTGTGTGTGTGTGTGTGTGTGTGCTAACAACAACTAGCACCTTCGTTGGATCAAGAGGTGGAAATATTTATGATAGGCTGCTGCTAATCCAATTACTCCAGTCTGTCAATTTGACTCTCCAACCTGTCTTCCCAAGGTGAATTGTTAAAGTTCCCACCTCAAAATTCCCCTTCAGTTCATCTCTAGAAAACAGAAAGGAATCTTGAGTGGTAATTATTCATTAGTGAGGAATAGAAGACCAATAATCATTGCAAGAGAAGGGAAGGAAATTGGGCCTTTAAGAATTATTTTCCCATTTGCCTCATTCTTTTCTAGCTTACAAAGCTGTTCACCATATAAAGAGATACTTCTGCCCTTAAACTCCTTATCTCTCATGTCTAAAGTGGCTGGAAGTGATGATAGCCTAAGAAATTTGCTTACTTTGACTATGATGATGGCCGAATGTTGTCTCCAGACTACATTCAACACAATCTCTGATGGGTGGATTTCCCCTTTGATGTGGCTCTCCTGTCACTCTAAGAGCTGTGCCAGTATCTTTCTTGTCCTTTGAAGTCCTTGGCAGAATCTTTGATCCAATTCTGCTGGTTTCAATTGACTACCTGGCCCCTTCTATGCTGACACCCCCCTCCCAAAAATTTTCCTTGTCATTTGGACTAGAAGGGGAAACTGGCAGAAGACTTGTCAATTTTACTGGTTTAGAAAAAAAAAAGAACGGTGGAAAGTTCACCTTTCCATTGTTAAACCTGTCAAATATAAATACATATTTCCAGTCACTTAAGCCTCTGTTCCCAAACTTATTTTGCATTACTTTGCTGCTCATGAATTTTATTCAAATCGTTCTAGTGCTGCACAGGACCAGGGGCTACAATGAAATGAAGTGATGAGCAGCACTCCCCATGCCAAGTTAGGACAAAAACATTTTTATCTGTAGTAGGAAAAGATGCACTGAGATTGTCTTCTTGGGGGCAGACAGGGAGGAATTTTCTCCCCTATGAAACCATTAGTCCATGCTATGCTGATTGCACAAATAAGCCCCAAGTCTATGGTAGCTATCATTCAACTAAGTATGGGGCTTAATCTATGTGTAGCTTTAAAAAACCAATAACGGTATGAATCCAGTAAGCTTAAACATTCTTTTTTCCTGAAATTGTCTTTTTTTTCTCCAAGCTTATTATTTTTATCACTTACACTGTCAAGGTTTTTGAGGACAAAGGGGCAAAAACATACATACCCACAAAACACAGAACTACAAGGCTAAAAATAAAGGGTTTAGAATTGCTGGAACACAAAGGCTTGTCATTTGCATGAGGAAAGAAGATTGAGAAGAAAGTGTTTTAGAAGCCATGCCATACAGCGTCTAATAGTATTGTAAAGAAGCTAACGCAAAGCTTCTCATTACTGCGTGAATTTTAATCTTGCTCAGAATGGCTTTTCTTTGAGTGTGAATCCATATCCAATCAAACCACACTGCTTTGTCTGAATCGTTACCCTGACAGAAGCATATAGTAATTAGAGCAATAAAACATGTCATTTTGTGCCCTTTCTTCAGTTCCCTTTCATTGTGGCAACTTGAGTGTCAGTGCTGCACTTTGAAAATACAGCAAGGACTGGGATAAAAAAATATGAAGGAGGGGAATAAAAAAATGGGGAGGGGAATAAAATAAGATGTTGACTAAAAGTGGTATTCAAAATTGCATGGGATAGATGACCATGATCAGAAAGAATATTAGAGGAGGTTAAAGGAAGTATTGTTTGGGTTGATAATCGTCAAACTGGAACTGAATGAAGTTATTTGGAAATTGATTTGGGCTGAGTACCGTCTGGGTATCTGCAGTTAATCTCTGAGTCATGTAAACTGCTTTGTTTTTTTCAACACCTTTGGTGCTCAGCATACTTCTAGTAACCTACAATTGAACTTGAGTTTTTCTGGGGGAGTTTAAAGGAAACAACCCTGACAGTATTTAATACAGAGACTGTTAAGTTCGGAGGAATGAGAGACTTAGCCAGGGCATTGCAAACAACAAATACTTTATTATTAGAAATAAAGGGCTGATTGAGCTCGCCAGCCTGGAACGGGCTCGCAACAACCAGCGGCTAACCGAACCCCGCAGCCTGCTTATATAGCCGGCTGCTGGGGTGGTCAGCCAATGGGGAGGCAGTAACGCCCCCCACAACTTGAGCGGACCTGAGTGGGGACTGTGGAGAGTCCCAGGGACATAACACCCCTTCCCCCCAGATGTGAACATGAGTAATCGTTCAAATAAGCTGGAGGTCTGTGCTGGCGCTCTGAGCGTCGTAGCTCAGGTGCGTTGACCACTGGCCCGGAGCCCGAGGGAGATGGTTGAACTGATGAGGAAACGCGGGCATGCTCAGCGGACTGCGTTGGTTTGGGGGTAGAACAGCCGACTGGCAACGGTGTGTCCTCGTACGTTGGTTCGGGCGACATACCCTCTGCATGGTCTCTGTCTGGCTCCTCGCTCAGTGACTCACGTGGAGGTGGTGGAGTATCTCCCGGGCTGAAGTTGAAGGGAGTCTGGCTTGGTGCCTGTGTGTTGGGTTGTGCCCATGGTTCTGCGCAGGGCGTAGTGACTAGGCGCTTACGAAGCTGGTCCAGGTGTCTCCTCCAGATGCGACCGTCATCTAACTGGACTTTGTATGACCTGGGACCGGTGATGGCAATGACCATTCCAGGGATCCACAGTGGGTCTCCCGCATAGTTCCTCGCGAAGATGCTCTCCTGCAAAACAAAACCTCTGCTCCCCGCTGAAGAAGCGAGGGGTGAGTCAGGGCAGTAATTAGGGTGAAGTCTATCTAACACGGTTCTTAGGCGTCTGCCCATCAGTAGTTCGGCCGGGGATTTATTAGTGACTGTGCACGGGGTTGCGTGTTGACCCAGCAAGAAACGGGATAGTCTATGGTGCCAGTCTTCATTGCCGAATCTGGCCAATGCTTCCTTCGTGGTTCTAATGGCTCTCTCTGCCAACCCGTTGCTGGCGGGGTGAAAGGGAGCCGTGAAGATGTGACGGATGCCCAGATTTGCGGCAAAACGGCTGAACTCTGTTGAGGCAAACTGGGGGCCGTTGTCAGAAACTATGGAGTCTGGAAGCCCGTGGGTCACGAACAGGCGGGTCAATACCTTGGTGACGGCTTGAGTGGTGGTGGTGGATAGTTGGGCCACATCAATCCACTTAGAGTGTGAGTCCACCACCACCAAGAACATTCTGCCGTGAACTGGACCCGCTAAGTCAATGTGCAGTCTGGACCAGGGTGCGTTGGCGCTTTCCCACTTTGTGGGGGTGGTGATTGGAGGGGATGGTCTAGACTCCTGGCAGGGTTGACACGAGCTTACCCATTTGCTGATGTCGTCGTCGAGGCCAGGCCACCACACGTAGCTGCGTGCCAACGCCTTCATCCTGACGATGCCAGGGTGGCCCTCGTGTAGTGCTTCCAAGACTCGGGTGCGCAGTTGGGCCGGGATGACCACTCTGGTGCCCCACAGTAAACAACCCTGCAAACTAGATAATTCTTGTTGGCGTATTTTAAAGGGTGTGAATTCGTTAGAAATACTCGTGCCCGGCCACCCCCTCCTCACCCAGTCCAGTACCTGGGCAACCGTTTTGTCCTTTTTGGATTTGGTGGCGATATCGAGGGCAGTGACAGGAAGGTCGAGCTGGGTGACCTCAAAGATAGCGTGGACCGGGGCCGGGTCTTCAGCTGGAGCAGGCAGGGGGCAGCGGCTGAGAGTGTCTGCGTGGCTTAAGGTTTTTCCTGGGCGGTGTATGAGTTTATACGAATAGGCTGCCAAGAATAGGGTCCACCTCGTCATTCTTGGGGACAACACTTGTGGGGTTTGTTTGTCGCCGGCCAGGAGACCCAGGAGAGGCTTATGATCCGTGACTAGTTCGAAAGAGTGGCCGAACAGGAATTCATGAAATTTCTTAACTGCTGCTACGGCAGCTAAAGCCTCCTTGTCTATCTGGCTATAGTTTCGCTCTGTTGACGAGAGGGTTCTAGAAAAGAAGGCGATTGGTGCCTCGGAGCCATTTGGTAGTCTGTGGCTTAAAACAGCTCCAATCCCGAAAGGGGATGCGTCAGCTGCCAACACTAGTGGAAGATGGGGGTCAAACTGAATAAGTACTGCGTTAGAAGTGAGTAACGATTTGACTGCGTGAAAAGCAGTGTCTTCCTTGTGACCCCAGTGCCAAGGAGAGTTTTTATCTAAGAGCCTGTGGAGAGGCTCAGCTACTGAAGCTTTATGGGGCAGGAATGATGCGTAAAAGTTCAATAACCCCAAGAAGGCTTGTAACTCTGCTTTGGTTGTTGGTGTGGGTGCTTCATGGATTGCCTTAACCTTGGACTCCAGGGGGTGAATACCTGAGGCGTCAATTTTATAGCCCAGAAAGTCCACCTGTCTAGTGGCAATGGCACATTTCTCCCTTTTTAATTTGAGCCCATGCTGTCTGAACCTGTCTAACACTGCTCTGACTCTCTGGAAGAGTTGGGGTCTGTCCCTGGCCGAGACCAATATATCATCGAAGTAGGGTACTACGCCAGGGAGACCCTGGAGTATGCGCTCCATGAGGGATTGGAAAATGCCCGGGGCAACGCTTACGCCAAATTGGAGACGCTTGCAGCGGAAGGCACCCCTGTGGGTGACGATGGTTTGCAGTTCGGCTGTTTGATTGTCAACAGGGAACTGCTGATACGCTTGAGACATGTCCAACTTGGCGAAAATGTTGCCGGGTTCAAAAGTGTGCAATAGATGTTGTATGACAGGGACTGGGTAAGCGCTAACTTGTAAAAATTTGTTGATTGTGGTTTTATAGTCCGAGCAAATTCTCAGACTGCCATCCTTCTTAAGGGGGGTGACGATTGGCGTCTCCCACTTGGCGAAGTCTGTTGGTTCAATGACCCCTTGCTTCAATAACTTGTCTAGCTCCGCATCCAGTTTAGGCCGGATGGCGAATGGGACTCTGCGGGGTTTTAGTCTAATTGGAACTGCCTGGGGGTCTACTGTGAATGAGATGGGGGTACCGTTATAGCATCCCAGCTCATTGCTGAATACGTCTGAGTAGTCAGCGAATAAGGAGTCAGTGTCAGAGGTGGAGACAGCATGGACTCCTGTTAACCCTAGGCCGAGATGGGGAAACCAATCAAGCCCCAATAGAGAGGGGAGGTTGCCGCTAACTACCACTAGAGGCAGGTAACCTTTGAAAGCTTTAAAATTAACATGGAACTTGCCTTTGCCAAGTACCGGAATGTCCTTCCCCTGGTAGTCCCTCAAGGAGAGCTGGCACTTCTGGAGTTGGTTCCTGGATAGCTTGGGCTGCAGCTTCTTGAGGGGGTTCCACGAAATAATTGAGAGCGCTGACCCCGTGTCAACCTCCATAAGGCATGGTTTACCTTCTAATAGGACAGAGAGCGAGATTTTACTAATGGCATTGCAGGTATGTTTAGCAAAATGGCGAGTGCGACAGTTTAGTACTTGCCTTTGTGGACCCGATCGTGAAAAGGAGGAGGGGCCCCCATGCGTGGGACAGCGAGCAGCTTGGCAGACTCTGGCTATGTGCCCCTTTTTGAGGCAATTGTTGCAGGTGGCTCCCTTGAACTTGCAGGTGGCCCTCGGATGAGATCCGCCACAGGACAGGCACAGGGTGATGTGCTTAGGCGGATGGCTGCTTTCTTGCCTGGCTCCTACCTGTGGTTGTCTGGTCTGAGCAAGGCGGTGGATGTCAGCCTGGTCGCTGGACTCCTCTGTGTTGACCACCTCTTCTGAATGGATGGTGGCAGCGGGTTGTTTGTGCACGGGGCCTTGGATTTCCGTGGCTGATTGGGTAGCCAACTCTGATGCCAAGGCTTCCTCGACGGCTTGGGCGAGGTTGAGGTCCTTCTTGGCCAATAGACGTCTTTGGAGATGGAGGTCTTTGACCCCGCATACGAGCTGGTCGAGGAGCATGTCATCAAGGTAGCTCCCGAACCCGCAATGGAGTGCTGCAGTCCTCAAGGCAGCCATGTATTGGTTGATAGACTCTTTTTCAGTCTGCTTCCTCATGCGGAAGGTGAACCTCCTGGCAATCTGTGAGGGTCTAGGAGAATAATGGTTAGTGAGGATTTCTAATAGTTCGGTCCAGGGGACGTTTCTTAACTCACGTGGAGCTACCAGGGCTGTGGCAGTGTCGAAGACGATGGCCCCGCAATAGCTCAGAAAAAATGATTTCTTCCGGTGCTCCCCTGCATCAGCCAGCCCTATGGCATCGATGTAATGATTAAAACGATTCTTATATGACTCCCACTTCTCCTCATCCGGTTTGAACGATGGGAAGGCTGGGTGGGAGTTCATGATGAAATCCTCGTTAGATGACCTGTTGAGAAAATCTCTCTGGGTAGCAGCAGGAAGGTTTTTTGTGCCAGCAAAAGGCTAGTGACTTCAGCTCTGGAGAGGTGTTTTTACAACTCTCAATTCTCTCTCTGGGACTGCTGGTGTTTTGGCTGCAATGGCCATTGGCAGCGTTTTTTGAATTTCGCGCCTGACTTCAGCTTACAGCACCGCGCTGTTACTAGACGGGAAATTCAACTGACAGCCGTTTGAATTTCTCGCCTTTTAGAATGAGCGGCTGCGGCTCGCAGTGCTACACTTCCTTCTGTAGCAGGCTAGCAAAACGGCTACAGGCGTTTCTCTCACTTTCATTAGTTCGCTGACCGCTTTCTCTCTGGCTGCGGCTCAGCGTTCGCTGCAGGCTAGCAAAATGGCTACAGCGTTTTTCTCACTTTCCCTAGTTCGCTTTCGTTGCCGGCTGATCGCTTTCTCTCTCTAGCTGGGATCAGCGGCTAGTGACTCAGCGGTCGCGTTATGCCTCTGGAAAGAATCCCGTCCTCGTCGCCAGTGTTAAGTTCGGAGGAATGAGAGACTTAGCCAGGGCATTGCAAACAACAAATACTTTATTATTAGAAATAAAGGGCTGATTGAGCTCGCCAGCCTGGAACGGGCTCGCAACAACCAGCGGCTAACCGAACCCCGCAGCCTGCTTATATAGCCGGCTGCTGGGGTGGTCAGCCAATGGGGAGGCAGTAACGCCCCCCACAACTTGAGCGGACCTGAGTGGGGACTGTGGAGAGTCCCAGGGACATAACAGAGACCTTAATTAATTGACTATTGTAGAAAACATCTCCTTCTACTTAGAGCAGGGGTGTCAAACTCAAGGCCCGTGGTCTGGATCTGGCCCGCGGGGTGCTTAAATCCGGCCCGTGGGTCTGGCCTGGGAAGGACTAGCCTGTGATGCCTCTGCTGGCTAAAACGGGCTGCGTGCAGCGCACCCCCCCCCAGGAAGCTACATGTGGCCCACTTTCAGCTGACAGAATGCTGCAAGAGGTCATGGAGGGCAAAAATGAGCATGGAGGGAGGGCTGCGTGTGGTCCCCCGTGCCTCATTTTGGCCAGTAAAGTGCTGCTGGAGGCCATTCAGGCAGAAAATGGGGCCCTGTCATTTTGGCTGGCAGGGTACTGCAGGAGGCATCCATCCCGCCTCCCCCATGCTCCCCATGCTCCCCATTGCCCCTCTTGCCAGCCCACAGAGAAATATAATGCTGATCCAGCCCTCGAAGAATTCCAATTAGACATCCCTGACTTAGAGCAACTAGGAATGTTCCACACTCACAATCAAAGAGAACCATTAAGCCGGAGCCTAGCTTTTCCAGTTTTTTTCTTTCCAATGCAGTTGTTTGCCCCTTCATTTCTGTTTTATCTTTTCCTCCTGATTTGCAAATCTTTCTCATCTGAGCCCCTGTGGCCACCTCAGACTTTGAAAATAATCAAATAGAACAGGGTGCAGTTTAAGGTTCTGACAAGTACAGGAATGTTTTAACGCTAGAGGGATTGGTGCGTGGACCATCTGCTGCCTTGGTCATTCTCATGATGTGTATCAAAAGAGAATATGCATAATGGGAGTGTTGTTGTTGTCTGTTGTTTTCTGCAGCAACCAATGACAACTCCTGCTCCAGCTGGACATGTTTTAGATGATAATTATTTCCATGTGGAATATGACAGGGTGACCTACTTCACTTCAACCCCATGAGAAAGTCCCTGTAGAGAATTTTCATTATTGGCATGCTGCTAAGTAATATGTGCCATGTAATTAAGAAAACATCACATCGTAAACAAACATGCTGGGGAAGCTAGAAATTAGGAACAGAAAAGCCATTCTTGGCTGCGTTTGTGTACATCCAGAAACTCTGAAAAAAAGACCTGCAGAAAAGGGATTTGAAGTTGGTTTTCACTTTTGCAGTTTGGGAATTTATTTATTTATTACAAATTTTTCTATGCTGCTTCAATAATTCCACCTCCAAGTAGACAATAAGCAGCAGAATATAAGTACACAATTATAGAGGGGTCAAAAGTTATCCATATATCAATAAAAATATAATCTGCAGTCATCCTATATACCATCAATCAGAAAGAAAATTCAATGCATGTTCAAATACTCCTGTATCATTTTCCAAATGCATGTTGGATTAGCTATGTTTTTAAAAGTACATTAAATGTTAAAACTATGGGCACACATACTTTGATCTGATGGGAGAACAGTGCACAGGAGGGAAGCTTCTGCAGAGAATGTTCACCTCCGAGTTCTCTCTCATCCAGTCTCATCAAGAGTGAAGATTCTCAGCAAGCATTCTCTACAGGCATACAGAAATATCACTGAAGACAGAAAGATGGGGGGTAGCCTTCTGCTATGATGCTCCCCCCGCCACTGTTCCTGTACAGTCATGGATCAACATTCAGAGTATCAATGATAATACTGTTAGGAATGCAAGTCACCTAACAGTTGGGTTGGAAAATATATAAACCAGGATAGACATTTTAATACTGTCTCTTTAAGGGAATGCTAAAATTGTAATTGGGTGTGGTTCCTCAAATGGCCATAAGATGGAGCCAGAAACCTAGGTTGTCCTGTTCTGGAGAGTGTTGCTGTTCCTGCATTTCCCTATTGACTGTTGCTGATCATCGTTGGTCTTGGATTGATATGAGTCTATTACTGAACTGTTTATGATACTGGACTTTGTTATTTGGATTATCCCTGGACTGAAAACTGACTGCTATAACCATGTATGACTTGGACTGTGTTTGGACTTTGCTTAACTGTTTACTGGAAGTAAAACCTACGTTTTACTATACAGTGTAGCTGTGTCCTGTGCATGTGTTATTCAACATTACTCTCACTACGTCTCCCTGTGTGCGCTCATTCTCCTAATGGAGAATTACCTCAACAAATACAAAGTAATTTCATCATGGGTCTTGTTCCTGAGGTTTTTTTTCTCAGAGGATAAGATAAAGTAAATCTTGGCTAGCATCTTTCAACCTTCCCCAGTAAAAAAAAAATCTGATTTATTTTTGAAAAGTCTACAAAGTGGCATTGGTTCCTTCCTGTTTACATATGGGTATATCTACACAAACCCATAGAATGAAACAGGCGTATAAGATACTCATTCTCTGCAACACTTCCAAGACTGATCTTGCAAACATGTAATGTCATCTAGTTACATAGTTATTTGAGGAAGCATTGCAAAGGAGATCCAGTGTTTGCAGAAAGTCGGTGCCACTGGGAGCTTGTAGGGTGGGGGTGGGTTTCTTCACAAAAAAGAAAGAAAAATGTGTAGCTCAAAGCACAGGAGAAGAAGGGAAGAAAAAGATGAGAGCCCAGAAAGCTTGTTAGATTGGCAAAAGCAGAAATACTTGTAAACACTTGAGGATTTACACCATGATACCATATTAAAAATCTGCTAAACTAGAATCCAGCCCTCAAGCACAGAAAATAACATGAAGCAGATTTGCACACATTTACCAGTCAGCCATTCCAAGTATGCTTAAGAAAAAAGAGCTCCAGTCTGACCAAAGGTTTAGCAAGACCATAAATGTTTTCTAGATTTTCAGTTCACATCTTTGATAGGCCAGATAAAGATCTTTCCCATTTGTGCTAGTCAAGAGACCTCTTATTGGAAACAATTGGAATAACTGATTTTACTATCAAGCTAATTGTGGTCTGGCTTGGGCCTACCCCTACAGCAACTTGATTAACCTAGCTCAGCTAGTAGTTTATAGATTTAAGGTTAAGAGAGAGGTGTTTCAAAACAAATAAGAAAAGCAGTATTGACTTTAAGATATAGACCTACTCCTCATTTA